AAATCCAGTAGTTTATATGTCTTTATTCTTTTTTTTAAGATTTTATTTATTTATTTGACAGAGAGATAGTGAGAGAGAGCACAAGCAGGGGGAGGGGCAGAGCAGGGAGCCTGATGCGGGGCTCCATCCCAGGACCTGGGGATCATGACCTGAGCGGGGCAAAGGCAGACGCTTAACCAACGAGTCACCCAGCTCCCTTATATGCCTTTATTCTTATTTATATCTTTCAGCATGGCATTAATGACCATTTTCACCTTTTTAAAATTCTTTTTTTTTTTTTTTGTATTCAGCTTCCACAACAATCTCCTAATTTGGACCAGTACCCCTTTACTAACTTCTAAACTTTCCATTTCTAGCTGTATATTTCAGGTGTTCATTCCTCATTGTTGAGTTACTGAAATAGCTTCATAATTTTCTCCCTCTTTCCCACCTACAATCATCCAATTTACTAATTTCATAATCATCTTCTTAAAAGAGCCTTTTTAAAAAATCTGCTAAAACCCATCAGCCTGTCCACACAGTAGATGAATATCTCCTTAGCTCTAAGCTCCTCCCTCCAACCTTATCTTGTTTCTCTGCCCTTCTCTTTCCTCGACTAAACCTGCAAACTCACTGTTTCAATGTCATCCTGCCAATCTCAGTGACTGTTCACCACCAGGGATGCCTCCTATGTGATCCTGCCCACACTTCCTTTAAGACCTAGACATGGGGAGGGGGGAGGGCAGAAGAAGAAATACGAAGGCAAGAGGAGAATGAGAAAAATCTCCATTACTGCTCCTCTATAATTGAGAGTATTAACATAACAAGAAACGCTTTTGGGAGCCCTTCTTAATTGTTAGGTTGATTATTCCTCAAGATAACGCCCATTATTTTTTATAAGAGACACATGATCTCCCAGAAATACAATGCTTTTTCATGGGTGAACTCAGAGAAGAGACAACCTCTACTGAAAAACTGGCTTAAGGAAATATATGAAAAATCTCCTGTGTGCCCCATTTTGGTTCTTGATATTAAAAATCAGATAATTTTAAACTTGCAATGGGCTTTCTAGTCCAACATTCTAATACTGGAGAAATGCATTTCCTCTAGTCAACTTTCCAGTACTGGAGGGACACACCAAAGGTGGGAAAGATCCTAATCCCTTTACAGGCTTGAAGTCCTCTGCATTAATTAGGGTTCTTGTTCACCAGGAAGGCAATATAGCTAGCTTAAGTAGAAAGGAATTTATTACAGGCTAGTAAGTAGCTATAAAAATTCCCAACGACAACATAAGAATGTTCTAGAGAAAATCTTGCGGCTGCCGCCACCCCTGCTCACCAGCTATGATGCCAAAGACCAGACAGACTAGCAACCGCAGAAGAACTGAAGGCCTTTGCTTCATTTCCTACATCTCAACCCCATACATTCTAAATCAGACAACTGAATCTGTTTGGCAGAGCCTAGAGCAGGAGTGGAACTCTAGCTGCAAGGGAGTCTTAAAGGGTGCTTTTTGAATTTCCAGCCTCTATATACAGAAAGATACGCTAAAATGAGGTAGCAGGTATCAAATAAGCCAATCTGCAGAAACTGCCCCAGGCACTCACCATACAATCAATGAGTTTGCTTCTCTTGTGGATAATAAACTGGATAATGAGGTCATATACAGACTCGATTACGACTGCAGGCCCTGCATTGAGACCACTAAGGTCCAAATCACATCTCAGGCACTACTTGTGTGATCTTGGGCAGTCATATACTACTCCTATGCATTTTGTCTATGAAGGGGATATTTGTAATTCTTAACTCCCCAGCTTAATGTGAAGATTAAGCGCATTAAAATGTAAAGTGCTAGGAACACTGCCTACTACAGAAGGTGCTTAATAAATGTTAGTTGTTATCATTTCTAGGAAATTATGGCTTTTTAAAACTTATGTAAACTGCACTAACATCTATGTGCTTGTTTATCAGACGACGGGGTATATGGATTGCAATAAATGGAACACATGCAAAGTACCAATGAGAATTCTCTCCCTATACGTTTTGCCACCTAGCTTTTGTAATGTTGCTATGAAAGAATGGGGAAAAAAATCTGTCATCAGCCTGTCTCAATTTAGGTAATTGCCACAGCCTCTGACTGCTGTCCCCGGGAAGGGAACCAAAGCTTGCAGATACCTTTCTTCTTTGAACGGTTTGCACAGTCCTGCCTCAGGTGCAACTATGTTCAGACTCTGAGTCTGAACAAAACTATTTCCACCCCTGAAGAAAAAAATACAGAATCTAGACTGGAACCAGTATGGGCAATAACAAAATGCTATTTAACATTGCTTTGAGTCAAGAATTTAAGGACAGTAAAACAACAATAACCACTACAAAAGCTTCAGACAACTCCTGGTATCTAGATAACTGGAAATTTCCATCTCTGTACTAAAAGAAATGCAATTAGGGCCAGACCAAAGAAAAGAGCCTCCCCTGATTTTGGGCAAATACCTAAAACAGCTCGTCTTGCCATTTCTTGAGCATCTCTGCTTATTAGAAAATTCTTTCAGAAAATTCTTTCACATAAGGTTTGGGAATCTGTCTGCCAAATTTAACCGACTGGCGAGTTCTGCAAACTGGTACTATGAAATCATTCTCTCTCCTCACACCAAGCATTGCAGTCCTGGAATATGACTGTCAAGGACCAGCAGCTGTTTATGTGATGCCGTATGGCACAGTCAGTAGGGACATGGGCTTATTCTCCCTCTTCCTGTGTGATCTCAGGGAGGGGAATTAACCTTTCTGCATCCATTTTATTACCTGTGAAATGGTGGTAATAAGTATGCCTACTTCACTAGGTTCTGGGAACATTAAATGAGATAATTTAATATTAGTTATCATTAATGATGTCACCACCATCACCAACATCACAGATTCTGAATTGGTCTTAGAATTAAGTAACACTTTTTTTTTTTTTTAAAGATTTTATTTATTTATTTGAGAGAGAGAGTGAGAGAGAGAAAGAGCACAAGAGGGGGGAGCGGGAGAGGGAGAAGCAGAC